TCTCTCTGATTTTGATAATGGATTCCTCAAATATTTCTTTGGTGGATATTTTGGCTGAAGGTAGAAGCCAGAGGCTGCTGAGAGCTTTCGAGAGATGAATAATAATAATAATAGTTTATTCATATATATAAGCCCAAAGTACATTTACATTTAGGTGTTCATTTATAGTTGATTTAAGTGCGATATTATAATTAAGGTACTAGTGGTAAAGCTAGTATAAATTTACAATTTGGTTATATTTTATATGCATAATATATTTATTGATAACAAATAAATTTTAAATCTTAGTTAATTGTAATTGACAGGTCTATATTTACAATCCGAAAAAATTTTCTTTACATATAACATTTTACTTAGTTTACTTCATTTCATTTAGGCTCTTAGTTCTAATCATACATGCGTGATATATATATTTACATAAATTCAGAGTCACCCTGGGATTACAACTGGACATTAACCGAATGTATTCATTATATGTACATGTATTTATATTTAAGTATTTCAATCTAAGATCGTGGAATTTTGTGCATCTAACTATAAAGTGATAGTCATCTTCAATCTCACTTAAAACACATAATTTACATGTTCTCTTTTCAATCGGTATAAGTAACCATTTTCCTACTGTCGCCGTTAGACCAATTGCTCCACATCTCAACTTACATAGTACACGTTTATATTTAAATATACATACAGAATATAGATATTTTTCAGGTTGTAATAAGGTTTTATATTGGCAATAACTAGATAGTCGTGAATTTTCCGTAATTTGGATATTCCAAATACATTCCCTTTGTTTAAAGAGTGATAAGAATATCTGGGTATTGCCTACTATCCATACATGACCTATCTGCAATATTTCCGATGTCATCAGCAAATAATATCACGTGTTAGGGAACTTTTCTGATATGTATATGCCTTTACATTCAGATATATTCATCTCATGAACGTATTCATTTATGAACAAAGAAAACAGAAGAGGACTCAGCATGCAGCCCTGACGAGTGCCTATGTTGCAATCAAAGAAATCTGTTAGTCCACCACTGGTAGAAACATGTGACTTACATTTATCATACATATTTCGAATAATGTTAAGAAAATTACCATGGATACCACTATTTATCAAGGTAGACCATAAGTGTTTATGCTGGACAGAATCAAATGCTTTATGGAAATCAATAAAGAAACAGTACACTCTACCCCCCTTTTTAGACAAATATTTGCTTACGAGACCTTGTAGTGTGAAAATGTCGCTACGGTCGAGTAATGACGACGGAACCCAGCTTGGTTTTCACAAATACAATTGTTCAGTTCACACCAGTTATTAAGTCGATTGTTTAAGATTTTCGTAAAAATCTTACTTATCACAGACAACGGCGATATTCCTCGATAACTATCTGTTAACATAGGACTTCCGGCTTTGTGGATTGGACATATAATAGCTTTGCCCGATTCAGTAGGATACGTACCAGTTTCAAATATGACATTAAAAAGTTTACTAAGAATTGGAATCATTACAAATTGCGACTCTTTGATAAGTTCAATGCAGAATCCATCGTTCCCTGCCGCCTTCCTGTTTTTCATAGATGAAACTGTTTTCCTGATTTCATCTTCCGCTATAAACAAGTTAGGTTCGGTTGGCAAACCAGTTTCGCAATCTTGACAAACCTGATCGTTCACACTTACTCTTTCAGAGACACTTTGTATGGAATTATCTGTATCGTAGCTATAAAGACGACTAAAATAGCTTAACCAATCGTTTGCTGGAATTCTAGATACGTTAGGTTTTCTCTTTAAAAGTGACTTAATATTTTGCCAAAATATCTTGGGATTGTTCAAATTTAATTTTCGACTTTTCTCTAACTCGATACGATATTTGAATTTCTGTGAGTCACATAATCGTTTGAATCTATTCCTCGCCGCTTTGTACTCACCCAAATCAGCCTGGAATAATGTTTTTCTGTATTGATTTATTATGTTTGATGTTCTTGAGTTCTTCACATTCTTTGGTCCACCATTTGGGTTGGCAACACTGTCCATCGTTTCGGTTCGCAATCGGTTTATTTCCTATAAACATGGATTGTGCTGCTCGCCCGACGATTTCATTGAATTCTTGGACTATTTGATTAGTGTCCCTACTTTTATTCGTTAATAAATTAATAAGCTGAGATTGTGAATAATCATCTGTTAGTAGCTTGAGGAATTCGTCTTTGAACTCCGGTTTCCACACATAGGATATCCTGTTAACTAGGCGACTTTTGTCAAGATCATTGACTTCTTGAGCTTGCGAGTTTATCACTAATTGACACGTTATTGGAAAATGATCGGAATCGTCAATATCCAAGACATTCAACGGTTTTACCAGTGGATATACGTTACTTGTTACGTATAGTCTACTACACTTTGACTCATGTTTGCAAAACAGGTGAAATGGCCATCCTTGTTTAAAAAAAATATTTTATTTCTATATTAAATGAAATTTTTACTAAAAATAAGTGTTTTCCCTAGCTCTACAAGACATGTAGTTCTGGTGTGTAGTCATTACTTTCTTTGTAGACCCACGTTTCACTCAGGCCAACAATGTCAAAGGTCAACAACTGTCGTTGGAGTTCAAGGTTTTCGAGATGCCTACGTAAGCTCTGACAATTCCATGAAAGTATCGATAGGGAATCAGTGTTTATTAAATTAGTTTTGGGAATGTTTGTATTGTGTAAAGATTCTAAGTTATCTTGAGTATTTATTTGCTATTTCGCAGTTGTTATCGGGATAAGTTGGTTAGTTTCCATGTTGATATCGATCAATTGTTTTTCTATTACTAGCTTATCATACTTCAAAAATGATCGTTTGTCTTTTGACTTATCATCAATCAAATGTGGTATTAACGCTTTTCGGACATTTCGGGCTCGTTGAGTGAAGTCGTCTGACACACTTATTGAGGATTTGGTTAGTTTGAGTTGTTCTCTATGGAGGTCAATTTGCGCCATTAATCCATTCTCTACCGATTTGTCTTATTCACTGATTCAAAGACAAATGTAAAATATCTTATTACCTATTACTTATAATTCAAACAACATAATGATTGAAATGCTAAAATCAAATGTTTATATTCACATGTAACTTAACTAAAGTCCTTTCAAACAGTTTATTTAGCATCTTCCAAAAATATTTAATAAAAAGATAATTCATTTGAGATAAAACAGAAGACATAATACACTAAAGAAGTTACACTTATCATTTTACTACAAACATTTTCCAATTTAGAAATGACACTTTACAGTTTAAAATATACTTCTGATATTTATCAAAAAGGACGGTGGTTTATCATTAAATATTTTTGGAAGATGCTAAATAAACTATTTGAAAGGACTTTAGTTAAGTTACATGTGAATATAAACATTTGA